GGCCACGGCGGCGCTGCTCCCGCCTTTCCTGCTGGCCGTGCTGGCGCCCTGGGCCAGCCGAGGGAGCGCCGCCGCGCCCAGCGCACCCAACGGCACCCTGGAGGCCGAGCTGGAGCGCCGCTGGGAGAGCCTGGTGGCGCGTTCGCTGGCGCGCCTGCCCGTGGCCTCGCAGCCCAAGGAGGCCGCCGTCCAGAGCGGCGCCGGCGACTACCTGCTGGGCATCAAGCGGCTTCGGCGGCTCTACTGCAACGTGGGCATCGGCTTCCACCTCCAGGTGCTCCGCGACGGCCGCATCGGCGGCGTGCACGCGGACACGAGCGACAGTGAGTGGGGCGGCCGGGCAGGAAGGGTGGGAGCCCGGCACAGCGGCCACCCCTTCCAACTCGTCCAGCCGCACGGAGGCCCCTGGCTGACACCTGCCTCGGGCTCTGGGAACGGGGGGGGCGGGGGCGAGGGGGGGGGAGACTGAGGTTCCGGTCCCTCTAGCGCGGGGTCGTGGGGGCGCAAACAATCTTGGCTCCTGTGTCGCCGCAGGGACCGGCTTTGCGCACCCGGCGGCCGAGCCCCGCCTCCCCGCCTTCAGCCGCCTGGGCTCCCTGTGCGGAATTCCAGCGCCTTCGCCCGTGGGCACGGGGCGCGCGGCGCCGCCACCGGGGATTCGCGCCCTGGTGGGGGCCTGGCTCGGGGGCCGCCGGGACTGGGCGCGGCCGCCGCGGGGCCCGGGGCGGAGGAAAGCAAGGCCAAACCCGCGCGCGCTGGGCTCTGGAGCTCTATGGGGACGGCCTGCGCCGGGGAACCCTAGCCCTGTACACCCATCCCAGAAATGGGGGTCCCAGAGGGCGCAGGCCAAGGAGGGAGCCGAGCCGGCAAAGGGTCCCCTTACCCGCAATGACCCGCGCCCTTCCCCCAGGCCTGCTGGAGCTCTCGCCGGTGGAGCGGGGCGTGGTGAGCATCTTCGGCGTGGCCAGCCGGTTCTTCGTGGCCATGAGTAACAAGGGCAAGCTGTACGGCTCGGTGAGTACCGCAGGGGCCCGCCGAGCACCGGCTGAGGAGCACGGACAGGATCCTGACCCTCCAGGCCGCTCGAAATGGGGGGCGGGGTTCCAGAACCGGTGGCTCCTCACCCGCAATGCCCTGGGGACAGCTCCCCCCCAGGACCAGGGCCAGCCAAGGAGTACAGCCTCAAGACAGTAATATTGAGGTTCGTGCCTTCCGGGAGTGGGCGCCTCCCAGTCCATCCAAGGGTGCCATTGGGAGCCCTTCTCTGAGCCCTTGGGCTGCGTGTCCCAAGGGCCAGACTGGAGCCTGTAAGGTGGACACCGTGGAGATGAAATCCTCTGGCTGCCAGGTGCTGGGCAGGTGGCTGGGGCACCAGCTGCTGTGACTGGCCGTCTTCTCACCCGGGGAGGGTCTTGGCACCTGACTTCCCAGGAGAGACCCGTCACCCTAGTGGGACTGCGACAGAGAGGAGCCCCTGACCCCTGGCCCCGGGGTCCCTCGGCCATGGGGAGGTCCGACCTCACACTGTTCCTCTTTCCTCTAGCCTTTCTTCACGGAGGAGTGCAAGTTCAAGGAGATACTCCTCCCCAACAACTACAACGCCTACGAGTGCTTCAGGTACCCCGGCATGTTCATCGCGCTGAGCAAGAACGGGAAAACCAAGAAGGGGAACCGAGTGTCCCCCACCATGAAGGTCACCCACTTCCTCCCCAGGCTGTGACCATCGGAGCCCTGCCTCAGCCTCGGAGAGCCCCCGGGGAGGGGAGCGCCCAGGGCCACCTCGGTGCACTTTCTTCCGATGGACACGTTGAATGCGAGAGTAGGTGTACGATATTTAAATTAATTATTTAAATATGTATATATGGCCACCAAATTATTTATGGTTCTGTGGGTGTGTTTTGTATTTTTCTGGAAAAAAAAAGAAAAGGACAGAGGACAACAACAAAAAAATACCCTGACTTTTCTGGTAAAACAGTGGAGACCCCTCCATTGGATTTATTTAACTTCAGAAACTTGTCACAAGTGTGCTGCTATTTTGTGTTGTAAAAGCCAGTGATATCGGACTCAGATATCCGCTTGCTTTGCACCCTCCGGTGGCCCTGTGTCCGGCAAGGCCCTCCCGGGGCTCGGGGCTCCGGAGACCAGCTCTGGAGGCTCCCAGCGGGCTTCCTCCCCCAGCACCCTCGGCGCCCCGCTCTCTTTGTGCCCTGTTGCTATTAATTGGGGCGGATCGGTTTACTTCGGGGACAGAGAGTACGCTGTGGAGCCCACCACTGCCGCTCTGTTTTTAGATCTGCTGAGACTGACCTTTGAACTTTGCTGTAGTCAATCTTCCTCCATCTACCAGATGGGAGAGACCTTTAGACAACTTTATAAACTCCAGTTTTCCTTTTTTGGATCAGCCACAGCCACGGTTCTGTGGCCACTGGGGGGAAAAAAGCGAAAAATCAGCTATTTTGTAAAGCCCACGGAAAGGCATCGCTATCCGACTGCAAGGCGGAAACGGACAAGACCTGAGTGATGAAATGCAACTTCTGATAGCAGATACTTCTGGTGGGGAGTAGCCTGGGTACGTATTTAAAAGCACACTTCCCTGTGCCCGGGAAGCTTCGGGCTAGGACTAGCTATTAGGTTTCGGTGGAATCTCCCGTAATTGTACGAAACACTTAATGCAGAGTCTGCAGGGAGGAGGCGCTGCTTCTCTCGGCTGCATTCCCTGGTTAAGTGGACTTAACATCTACCTCGAAAGCCTTTACACCACTCACCTGGCGGAAACCTGCGGGAAGCTCACGCCGTGTGCGTGCGCGTTGGCCATCCCAAGTGGCTTTTTTTTTTTTTCCATATGTAGCCAAAAAGGACTGCGGATAGCTTCGGTGCGACCCATTCGAACCTTGTCACGTTTGAGCTATCTTTACCCCGTGATTTACTTTTAGTAAGGATAATCATGGTGAAAATATTTGCAGACAGCTGTTACAGTGCACTATATGGTCACCAAGTAACCTTATATTTTTCTTTATATATTTTACAAATGTCACCCCTGTCGTTGAAGCAAAGACAGAAGAGGCAGGGTTGGGGATGGTTAAAAAAAGTCCCGAGGTGATGGCAAACATTTAATTTTAATGAATGACTTTTTAGGGTTTATGCAAAATGCCCTTAGCTTGCTACCGGAGATGCCCGGCTGTCTCCCAGACTCGAATACTCGCCTGGATGTTTCTGAACTGTCTCCCGATTTAACTTTATGGGAGTCTACAGGCGGCTGGGCTGGGCATTCTGATTGGCGTTTTTTGTCTTTCACATTCCTCCTTAAAACTCTTTGTTCGAATGCAAATCATCTCTTTTAAAATACTATTCTTAAACCGGGGCCCAGAAGAAAGAAGCCATTGGTAAGCCAGGACCACACATCCTAAACTGCTATTCATGCACTGGAATAAAAATGTTTTGTTTTGTTTTTAATTTTAAACCACGCCCTGGACTCCAGGAGTGTCTGAGGAGAGGTGATGCTCCAAGACCGCCTGTGGATTGCAGGAAGGGGCGGCGTGGAATTTGTGGTCGTTCTGTATTTAATGTCGTCGCCTAGTGACAAGCCACGTCGGTCTTAGGTGCCTTAAATTATTGCACGATGTCTTGTCTCGGAGCCCAGCCCAGTGTGAGGAGTGAAGATGGCTGAAGTGCAGAACCTGTCACCCTCCGAGTCTGGTATCTGTTCATCGAGTCACGAGTGGAGCGTATAGGGATGTGATGGACACATTGTCAAGTGTTTCTGTTGCTGTGATGGGGGCTGAGGGTCCTGTAGGTGCCGCTGTTTTCAGACTGTAGTTTTATACAGGTGCCGACCGTCTTGTCATGTATGTGCTGTGCACACCGAGATGCCGAATAAATGGAGAACGTTTGTCATGTAAGAGAGCCCCACCGGGCTGGATGTAAATAATTGGGGGAGGTATTGAAAACCATTAAAACCTGCCTTGAAATGCCAAGACCTGGCTCCTCCCCCTGTCTCCCAATGTCTATTTGAGGCCTTGAGCCCCACGTGGCTGGGGCTGGGCGTGGGGTCGGGGGAGACGAAATTTAGCCAGCTGTGTCCGCACAAATGTGGCCCGGAAGACAGGAGCCTGGAGGGGGGTGCGGGGGGTGTTCGTGTCACCAGGTTTCCCGATGACTCTGAATGTTGCAGTTTATTCTCATGATGGGCTAATTCATGCCATTCCCACTGGAGCTCACCAACCCTGGCCCCTGGCCTTTGGCACTTGCCCGGGGTCGGGGGTAAAGTCCCCGTGGGCTGGTCATCAGAAGACTGACTTGAAAGTTTTGGGTATTCCCCACCGATGAATCTAGAAGTCGATATCCTGAACACCCAACCAGCCTCCCATCAAAGGGAAATAGAGTAAAATCCCGCAGAAGAGAAGCCAGTCAGGAAGAGATGGTCTAGCAGTGATCGGCAAACTGCGGCTCGGCAAACCGCGGCTCGCGAGCCACATGCGGCTCTTTGGCCCCTTGAGTGTGGCTCTTCCATAAAATACCGACTTCTGCGCATGGGCCATGAAGTTTCAATCGCACTGTTCATGCGCGCCCGCACGTGGTATTTTGTGGAAGAGCCACACTCAAGGGGCCAAGGAGCCGCATGTGGCTCGCGAGCCGTGGTTTGCTGACCACGGGTCTAGTGCAGCGGTCGCCAACCGGTGGTCCGTGGACCACTGGTGGTCCGTGAGGTCCGAAAGGTCGGCGACCGCGGGTCTGGTGGACATTTCCCATGCTCTATGGGACCATCTCTATAGATGCGATGCAGAATGTGAGTGTGAGTGTGGATTGGAATGAAAGCAATGACCTAATGGGCCTAGAATCTGGGTCTCCCCTCCACAAGATCTAGTCAATCTCTTGACAAGAAGACCCCAAAAAGGCATTCAGGGTCCTTAGTTGCACCTATTTTTCTCTCCAAGGCATCACCTTGCCCTTCCCTTGTCTGTGATCCCACCATCATCTAGGGATGACAAATACACGGGCAGTGCTATGGGTTCAATCTTGGCCCCCCCAAAAGATGTTGGCGTTCCAAGCCCCAGTACCTCAAATACAGGGACTTTATGAGGTAACCAAGTGGAAAGGGGGTCACCAGGTGGGCCCTATGCTGCTGTGCTCATAAAGGAAGGTCCTGGAGACAGAGAGGCCCTGGAAAGGAGGATGACGTGGTGCGTCTACAAGCCAAGGAACACCCACGGTCTCCACGGGCCACCAGCAGCCGGGAGAGGCCTGGGTCAGTCTCCTGCCTCAGAAGGACCCAGCCTGCCAACACCTTGATCGAAATTCCGGTTTGAAGCCCCCGGTCTGGGGTGCTTTGTTACTGGTGCCCCAGAGAAAGTAGTGTGGGTAGCCAGTCATATTCACTGGTGGGTGGGGAGCGAAACCCTGAAGACCTCCAGCCTTGGCCTGCCCCCCTGTGGCCCCCAAAGGTCCCTGTCCAGCTTCATTTTGGCCAGCAGGCACAGAAGGCCTCTTCCAGCTTCGGGGTGAAAACCAGTCTCCAGCACAGACAGGTCCAAAGTGGGACTTAACACGTGTCTGTTGCCAGGCACAGTCCTAAGAGCTGGGATCCCCACTGAGGAAATGAAGTCCCCGGGTGTGGACCGGGCCTTCGTTAAAAGGAGGGGGTGACATGCAGTGGACGGTGCTGGCTGGCTGAGAAAACAGAAGCCGGATGGGGAGGCGCCAGGTGCCCACCCTGGCCTCACGGCAAAGGGGACTTTTGAGCAAAGACTTGAAGGTGCTGAAGGAGGAGGCCATGCAGGGAAGAGCATAGGGAACAGCCAATGCAGAGGTGCTGAGCTGGGAGGAGGCCGGCAGGTTGGAGGAGCCTCTAGGAGACCAGGGTGGCTGGAGTCTTGGGAGGGAACCAGGAGGAGGTGAGGTCAGAGAGGCCCGGTCACAGGGCCCATCTCAAAGGCCGGGGGCATCGCCCAAGGGGCTGACACTAGACGGCGGAGGAAGATTGTGGGGGTTCGGGCTGTGCTGGTTAGGGGTGGCACAGTGGCAGCAGCAGCACCTAAGGCACCTACTGCTCTGCTCTGGTTTTCTCACATCCGCCCTCCTTAGCGAGGGCGCGCTCAGGCCCAGCCACTGCATCCGCGCTGTGTGACCTTGGACAGACCTGGTGACTTCTCTGTGCCTCCCGCTCCTCGGGTTCCCCACCTCCTGGGCCTGTGAAGTGTCCTCCATAGCAGAACTAGAGCCTATTGTTATTGTTATTCTCCTAAGTGCCTTAATTACAGTCTTAAAGTCCAGATCCTTTTTATATTGTGCCGATGGGAGGACTGTCTGTCCCAGCGCTGGGAGCCACTGTCATGCAGAGCACAGGCCCTCACTGGTGGTGGTGGTGGGCACCACTGAGGGCTGGGTCCCAGGGCCCTGCACTGGCTGCTCTGCCGGGTCAGGGGAACACCCACCCGTCCCCTTGGCCTGCTCTGCTCTGAGGCAGGATGGGCAGAATGAGCTCAGTCTTCTTTCAATGCTAATAACTTGTCATTGTTCTTGATCCATAAATTCTTTTTTTTAAAGTGGGGAGCAGGAGGGGTGTCCACAATGGGCCATGTCCGGGAGGGGGCGGGACGTGCACCAGGGCTGGGACAGCGGGCACTGCAGGGAACTGGCCAGCCCCAACACACCAGCCCCGGACACCCTTGCTGGACGCTGTGGCCTCATTCCCTGCCGCCCTTGCTGAGTCCTCGCACAGCCTCCCATCGCCATTAAGGTCAAGATCATAGTCCGCAGCACGGCCAAGGGGCTGTTCTCATGACTCACTGCCACGTAACCTACCCAGAACCAGAGACTGAAACAGCCGTTTGATTAAACCTCCACCATGCGGTGGCTTAGGAATTTGGACAGGGTCCTGCCGGGTGATTCTTCTGCCTTTCGTGACGTTGAAGGATTCAGCTGCTGGTGGACTCGTCTGGGAGGCCTAATTCTTACAGGGCAACGCGGGGCTCCCAGGGACAGTGCTCCGAGAGCCCCAAGGCTTCAT